ATCATCTTTATTCAAATCTTATACTCTTGATTGTAATTTTTTTTCACTTGGGATGCGGGTACAACCTCTATGAAGTATTGGCTCATGCTAAGACTTTAACTACAAAACTGTCGAAAGATTTTATTTGCTTGAAGTTTAGGTTATAAGCCGTTATCTATCGGTTAAAAAAAATAATAGAATTTTTAGGAACAATAATTCATCCTTGAAAAAGATTCATTTTACAATCAAACAAAAATGCAAAAATGGAAGAGCAATACTAAATACCGGCATGCATCTCTAGCTGATACTTCAGACAAATTTAATGCATTTTATGACTCATTGTGCGTATATATCTACAGCTAAGATGTTTTCAGTCCCATTCAGTTTTCTATGAGCATGTGCCACCATTAAATTTTGCTTTCTTGGCCGGAAAAACTTCTCAAGACATATTTTGTACTATTGTTGGGTTTTAGTTTGCTCAGTGCATCCCTTTGTGATTTTCATCTTCTGCAATCAATAAAAAAAAATGATGCAGCTTAAACGTTTTTTACTTTCACGGTTAAATTTCGACTGAATACAGCATCCATTTGCTCTCTTTTGCAGGGCATATTTGAGTTACTCTCCTTATCAGGATCATTCATGCCAAATGAAAATGGCGGAACAAAGAGCCGTTCTGGTGGGATGAGTGTCTCATTGGCAAGCCCTGATGGACGTGTTCTTGGAGGAGGGGTTGCTGGTCTTTTGGTTGCTGCTAGTCCTGTTCAGGTACAACCATTTTCCTCAAGCAAATTTGTTAAATCCAGATTTACAGGATTTACTAAATCCTATTCAAGATAAATCCCATGTATTTACATGTTTAACACATAAATTTCCCGCTCTACGTTTATACCGCCCAAATTTTTCATATCACATAAAAAATATCACTTTTTTAACTTTTCATGCATAAGGTCGTAGTGGGCAGCTTCTTGCCTGGCTACCAACTGGAGCAGAAAACAAAGAAACCAAAACAGGAGACATCAGTCGCCATGCCGGCAGACACAGTTAGAATGTCCAACATGGAGATGGAAGATACTCACACCAGCGGCGGACAATCGCAGCAGTTTGCTTCTGCACCAAAACCAAACCTTACTACCTCAT